TAGAGAAGTCACAGAGTCATTCTCAGTGCTGTGGAGAACGGCTAATACGCAGTCAGCCCGTGCTTGGGTGGAGCATCTTCCCGCATCTCGCAGGCAGTGAGGATAATAGATCTTAGCCTGGAATAAATGTCCACAGGTATGGTCTTGCCCACCAGGGGTGGTAATGTCAATGTGGGATTGAGATTCAAGAAAAAAAAAACCGCCGAAGAGATGAGGTTAAATAGGTCATAGATACCCAAAGAAACAAGAGGAATAATTCAAGATGACAACAGGTCCTTAGATTTTTCATTGCTCTTTTGTCTCCCCAGCCTTCTAACAGCAGTTATACTTTTTCTAGTTATCCTTCTGGTCCTTAGGATGAGTCCCTCAGGCTTCTAGCTTCTCTGGCTACAGAAAGTTCAAATACTGTTTGCTGTATATCCTGTAACACACATCACATTTAAAACAAGAAAATGAACAGGAGTGGCTATGTTCATAATTACATATGTTCACCTAGTACTTTTTGGTTAATTAAGCACTTGAGCCTCATTTTGATCCCAAGGATGTAAGGCCACAGCTAACATCATTCAATGGAACAGACAAGGAACACAAACTAAACATATCATATTGCTAAACAGATGGCCATTAGCCATGGTTTCCTTTCCACTGGGGAGGTTTTTTTTTCTTTTGTTATGCTTTAAAACATAAAACTTTCTTAAGTTTCATTTCAGGACTTAACCCTATCTGCTACCTCTCAAGTTAAGACACAAACAAAGCCAAAATGTTTGACACCCACTCTGCTTTTATGATTACAAGTCCTGTTCATTCCCTCTTTCTCTTCTATATCCCTCACCCAATAAACATATGTGGTGATGTTCTGACTCATGTCCTTAAACGACTGTGGCTACATTCATTCATTCAACGCATATTGATAGAGCATCTTCAAGGAATCAGGCACTATTCTAGGCACTTGGGTCACATCAGTGAACAAAACAAAAAATGTCCTGTTGGAACTTAAAAGCTAGTAGGTGGAAGTAGTTATTATATGTGTATATACTTATACTCATAAAGTGTATTATATGACGACATAGAATAAAGAAACAGGGAATGCATATGTGGACTGCTGGCAGAGCAGCAGGAGGGATGTTAAATGAGGTGATTAGAAAAGCCTCGCTGAAAAAGTGAGGCTTGAACCAAGATGGAATACGGTGAGGGAGTTAGCCAAAGGATACATGGAGAACATTTCAGGCAGAGGGGTAGAGCAAAGGCCCTGGGGTGCGAGTGTGTCTGGGCGTGTTCAAGGAACAGCTCAGAAGGAGGCCAGTGTGGCTAGAATGAGCAAGTGACAGAGTGAGTTTGGAGCACAGGGAAATCACAAAAGGCCCTGGGAGTCCATTGCAATGGAACGGCTTTTACTCAATGGGAAACAAGGAGTCACTGCAGTTTTTGAGCAGAAGATATATTAAAAGTTTTAAAAAGAGTCTTGACCACAGCGCTGTGTTGAGAACAGACTGTCGGGGGCAAAGGCAGAAGCAGGGAGACCAGGTAGGCTGGCAGAGACAACAGCTACTTAGATCTTCAGAAGAGCAGCAGGAGAGGTTCTGAGAAGTGCTCAGATTCTGGGTACATTTTGAAGGTAAAGAGCCATGCTTTCCTAGCAGACTGGATGTGGGATGAGGGAGAAATCGAGTTGGTAAAGACAACAGGTAAGCTATAAAGGCTGACGTTGCCATCAATTGTTTTGAGGCAAAACCCCAAACTGACACTACAGTATAGGTGTTACAGGTATCCCATTTATTGGGGCTCATCACATTTTAAATTCTCTTTACTCCACCCCTCCTTTTCTCCTTCCACAGAAATCCTCTAATCATGAAGTCTAGACTGAATAACTGGTGCAGACAGATGAAGTTTCTTCTATGAGAAATTATGGATATGACCACAATGACAACAGACACACTATCCCAGCAGGCAATCCAAGACTACAACATTTGACAGCTAGTCAAGCAATAATGGAAAGTTCCCATTTGCCATTTACTGGCTTTGTAACTTTGGGCAAGTCATTTCTTCTGTCTATGCTCATTCTTTTAAGGTAAAAATATCCATAGGGTTATCGTGAGCCAAGCACTTAGGGTAGCATCTGGCCCAGAGTAAGAAATACATAGGGGTTGCAATTACTACTATCATTGTTGTTAACTGATTTTGTTACTTCTCAATTTCTAAATGATTTTATGAGAAATAACGCTGGGGGAGTGGATGAGTCTAATACAAATTTCCAAAACACAAATAACCTAACACTAACGTACATTGAGTACAAAGACACAGCAAGTTGCCAGTAGGTGTCATGGAAGCCTAACTACCTTAACTATATTACTACCCCTTGCATGTTTGGGGGCAGTATGGGGAAAACATGGACACGTACGTTATATCTCTGCGATTTACAGAAACTGATCTATCATCGAAGACCCATGAACTTCTCTGAACCTTTCAATACTAGTTGTCTGGGATATTTTCAGGATATAAGATGGTACTTGATCACTTTAGCTTTTGATATACACTTGAATCAAGAATACTTAAGATGTAGTTTTAAAATGTTTACTAATAATATAACAATGTAACTCAGAAGTTCAAATATATATAGATATCGGTAGGTATGTACAGATGTACTAGTATAGTACATGTATATACACTATTTAACTTAAACAAATTGTTCTCTTTTCCCAGCCTCTGATACTAGATGAATTTCTACCATAAATGTCCTTGAATGGCAGGTAACAACTTTCAAGATTTATCTAGCCAGCAATCCTCAAGCCTAGCTATATCTTAGAATTACCTGGGGAGCTTTAAATATTAACACATTAATGCCAGCACCCAGCCTTAGATGTCTGATCTAACTGAAACCAATGTTGAGAACCCCTGGTTAGGTAAATCCTAGAAGTATTATTTACTGAATCTGGGAGACACAGAGAACATTGTTTAAATGGTAAATGAGTATTTCTGAGTTTAAACTAGCATCATACGAAGGTTCTGTGGGAAGAGGACACTATAGCCTAGATTAGAAACCCTCTTATCATGGGCTATACTGTCTCAAACTATGCTGAATCTGCAAAACAAGAGTTGGTGGTCTCAAAAATGCTTGATGACTGAAACTTAGGTTTCTTTCAAATGAAAAAACACACAATACTATTCCATTGTTCTCCGGAAAAATTCTTCTAAGCCTTAAGAGCCAAATAGCTGGTTACAATTACTTTTTTTCCTCCAGTTTCCTTGCTATAGTCTATAACAATGGTATGCAGCCTGATTCTAAGAAATGTGACTCTTCTTTCCATTTCTCTCTCTTTTTTTTTAATCCATCATGGAAAACATAAATCTCCATGAGATATTAATGCACAATGTAAAGGAGAAGTTATTTCCAAATGTTTTTGCCTGTCAGCATCGTATAAGACTGGGTAGTGGCTTTCTATAATAAAGTCATTCATTCATTCATCCCTTTAAAGCACAATATTTATTGAATCTTTTATATATGCTAAACGTTTCTTTCAGGTGCTTGGGGCTATAGCAGTGATCAAAACAGATCTGGCCTTAATTTTCTTCTAGAAGCCTTTAAATGCATAAATTTAAAACAAAGTAAGACTGTAGTTCAAAGATACCTAAACAGTAGGTTAAGATCACTGAAGTCTAAAATAACAACTCTAGAAATGTCATATGGAACCATAATTTACTCAGCACCTACTGTAGACCAGATGTTGTATGGTACTCATTTAAGTTTCTGTACTAAGAACATGAAATTACTATTTAGAAGAAATTAAAGGAAGCCAAGCAATGAGAAAAATCTTGCCTTTAGCAGAGTTTAAATATGGCTTTCCACATTAGTGGGAATGTTTCATCCTAAAGTCAAAAACAAAGGATTATGACAGAGTTGTGTGAATTCATCCACACAAAAAACTTTTTCAGATCAACCACACTGTGAGAAGATTATGGGGTTAAGAAAAGAAAAATCAAGTTGTCATAAAACTATATTTCCAGTTTCAAAGGTTTTTAAGTTGAAAATGATGTAAACTGTATTTTAAGTATGATACATAAACTACCCCTCTGTACAATTAGGCCCCAGAACTTACTGATAAACAGTAATAGTGATACTGCAACACCAATAAAATAAAACATTACTTACGTGCAGTAATCAGTCCTTTATTTTTATTTTTTTAAGCAAACTCTAGTCCAAATCAAAAGTCACCCAGACCAATCAAAAATTCTTAGGACTGTAATTCAGGCCCATACAAAAACTGGTGACAATACAAAGCTGTGTGACTATCTTTTAAAAGCATTCCCAGGTGAAGATCATTGGACTCCAACACCTACTGCCACCCCCAAAATCCTTTTTTCCCCTTAAATATTGTTTTGGTTTTTAAAGGGAATGAGGGTGAGAGGACAGCCAAGTGAGGTCAATTTGTAAGTACCCGGGGAACTGACTCAGGCCAAGCCGGTTCTTCAACTCCAGACTGAGACCCTGATTCCAAAATGGTAATTCACTCCTCACTTATGCCAAAGCTCATCCATTCCCTTTGCTTTTTAAGGACAAACGCGCTCACCTTTCTCGCGCATAACTTGGCTTCACGCTAATGTCAGACAGTGCCTGGAACGCAGGGCTCTCAGGCCACCCCCGCCCCAGCACTGGCCGTTCACGTCTGGACAAGGGCCAGCTCATGTCACGTCGCGACCTGCACCTGCACGCGCGCACACACACACACACACACTCGTCCCCGGCGCTCCCGAGCCTTCGGACGACAAAGTTTCCCGGCTGCTCACTTTGGGGTACAAGCGAGGGGGCCGCTGGGGGACTGCGGGGCCCCGGAGCGCCCCAGTTACGCGGACGCAAACCCCGCTATGCACGCGAGACAGGCTGCGAAAGCAAAAGCAGCCCGGCGGGACGGACGCGGGTGTGCGGTGAGAGCCCACGGATGCCGGCGGGCTGCTGGGAAGGGGCTCGGCGGGGCCGCCCGCGCCCCGGACCCGCCCGCGCTCACCGTCGATGTTCTCCCGATCGCTGATGTGCTGCAGGTTGCAGCCCGTGTCCTCGCGGCTCAGGTCGGTGTCGGGCCGGTAGGACTCCAAGCGAGAGTGGGCATTCCTCCGGAGCTTGGGGCTGGACGACACGCAGCACGAGGTAGTGTTCCCCATCTTCGGCGGCCCCCCGGCTCCGGCTGCTCTCGCTTTCCTCCCCGTGCCCGGGCACGGGGCGCGGGCGGGTGCGG